AAGCCAGCGCTGCGGGGGGAGGCGGCCGCAGACCGACGGTGCCGGTGTCCGCACCTGCAACAGCCCCCGCGCCCCGCCGCGCGCCGCCCGCAGCATCCCGAGCCACGCCGGAAGTGCGGCGGCCGGAAGCGCGGAGCGAGCCCTTCCGGGCACACCCGGGCGTCGCCATGACGATCGCGCGGCGCGTGACCGGCAGTGCGAGCAGCGACCCCCGCGCGCCGCTAGCGCAGGTGAGCAGGGCGCGCGCGGGGCGGGGGCGGGGCCCGCGCGGCGGCGGGGGCGGGGCCGAAGGGCCGGGGGCGGGGCTTGCGCGCGCCGCGCGCCGACGGGGTGCGCCCGCCTCGCGCCTCCGCCCGCCCGCGCGCCCGCCCTCGCGCCACCGGGCGGCGCGGGCCCGGCCGCGAGGGGGCGGGGCCGGAAGCGGAGCCGGGGGCGGGGCCCGCGGCGGAAGCGGGGCGGGGCCGGGCCGGGTGGTGCGGCCCGGGCGGGAGCCATGGATCGGCCCGGTGTGACCGCGCCGCTCCCGCTCCACAGGCATGGACGATGGGTTTCTCATGGAGGTGTGCGTGGACTCGGTGGAGTCCGCCGTCAACGCGGAGCGCGGAGGTAAGGCCCGGGGGGCCCCGCGGGAGGGGCCGGCGGCGTGGCGGGGCCGGTTCTGACGCGCTTCTCCGCAGGTGCCGGGCGGATCGAGCTGTGCGCGGGCCTCGTGGAAGGAGGGACCACTCCGAGCATGGGTGAGCCGCCCCCGCCCCTGGGCCCCCTGCCCAGCCATTCCTCCATCCCCACCCCTCTCCCCTCGCTCCCCTCTCCCGTCCTGCCCGCCCAGGGCCGGAGGTGCCGTGTCGGGGCGCTGAGCCCCCCGTGCCGCCCGCAGGGCTGCTGCAGGTGGTGAAGCAGTGCGTGCGGGTGCCGGTGTTCGTGATGATCCGGCCCCGCGGCGGCGATTTCCTGTACTCGGACCGCGAGGTGGAGGTGATGAAGGCCGACATCCGCCTGGCCAAGCTGCACGGCGCCGACGGGCTCGTGTTCGGGGCCCTCACCGAGGACGGGCGCATCGACACGGAGCTGTGCACGGCGCTGCTGGGTGAGGTGTCCGCGGGCACAGCTCTGTGCTGGGCAGGGGCCCAGAAAGAGCTGTACGGAGTGCTTTGGTCTGCATGGCCCGTCTATGGTCTTACCGTCTCTTTCCACCCTCTCCAGTTTCATGTGCTGCCACACTCGTGAGACATTAAGTAGTTAAGAAACTTTGCAGCCCAGGGCCCACAGCCCCAAACTGTTCACACAGAGTTTGAGGCCACCTGGGCCGTAATAGCAAGGTCTGAGAAGGCTTAGATGAGCTGCTTTTAGAGCATTAAACTGTTGGGTTTTGTCCCTTTATTTCTTTGCCGTTTTTTCTTTATCTCCCTGCTGCACATATCTAGGATATGTGTCTCCTGGACCTTGGCCTTGTGGGTAGCTGGCAATTCATCTTCATTTTTTTCTCTTAACACACCCAGTGAGAAAAGATGACAAGAGAGAGGTGGAAACATATAAAAAGCTACTGAAGCTGCAGTGGGAATTCATTAGTCCAGACCACGAACATGTGGAAACAAATTCCCTTTCTCTCTGAATCTTTTCTGTGAGCTACAGGCGAAGCTAAAGAGAGCTGAGCCTTTCCCTTGTGGTGTGCTGCTGAGGGTCTTGTACAAAGGTGAATGTGCTGTAAGGAATGCAGCAAAAGACAAGGGTCTTCCTAGGACTTGGCTCCACTAGGCCAGTGAGGTGCTCTGCTGGAACCAGTGTTTCTAGGGCAGGTGGATTTCTTTTTGTAGAAATAAACTTTGCATAGTAAATAGAGCACCACTGGTGAAGTTTGTTGTGGTCTGAGACCAGAAATCATAGGTAGTGAAAGAAATCACAAAAATCAGCTCTCCTGCTTTCAAAGAGCTATGGTCCTGTCCTTTCCCTAGGTATATGATACAACTTCCTTGCTTCCTTCCTACAGAGGAAAACATCTATGGTGGGAATGAAGGTTCTGCATGTTCTAGACAAGATAGGAGGTTTTGGTCTTACTCTTTATGGGTAAACAAATGGTTTGTTGCTTTCTCAAAGGGCAGAATAACTCTTCCCCACCAAAGAGCTTGGCCAAACAACAGCTGCTGCAATGTTCCCAGCAAGTACTGGGACTGTTCTGAACTGCCTAAAAATGGCTTGAGGAGCCTTTGTCCTCTTTCCTGTCATGTACTTTTCTGGTTCTAGTACAAGGAACTCTCTGTTCCAGCCCTGACTGACCATATGTCTTCTTGTTGCAGCCGTGTGCCGTCCCCTGCCAGTCACCTTTCACCGCGGTGAGTTGCTGGGGACAGTGGCCCGAGCAGGGACCACCCTGTGCCCCACTGCCGGCGGCAGGTGGGGCTGGGAGGGAGCTCAGCTTAGTGTCCTTGGGGCGTTCTCTGCAGGGGGAAAGCTCTGCAGGCTGTGCAGGAGAGGGAAGGTCCGGGGGGTTCAGGCCTGGGGAGTTGTGTTACTGCACTGTGAGAGAGGAGGTGTCTGAGGAGTTGAGGATGGTGGCCCTGGCACTGCTGCAAGGGCCTGAGCTGGCTGGGGGACGGGACTTGAGCACAATGAACCGAGTGATTTCTGAGCTGTTGTTCTGGTCTCTCAGCCTTCGACATGGTGCACGACCCTCTGGTGGCACTGGAGACCCTGATTTCTCTGGGATTTGAGCGGGTGTTGACGAGTGGCTGTGACAGCTCAGCACTGGAAGGATTGTCCTTGATTAAGAGGCTTGCAGAACAAGTAAGTGCTCGCTGTGTTCTCCTGTGGCTGCTACCTCTGGGTGTTGCCTGCTACATTTATGGTAGCCCTCATTTCTATAAGGGCACTTCTGCCAGGGAGCACTTGCCTTCCCTCCCTTGCCTGGCTTTAATCTGTTTTCCCAATTCCATATGGGCTGGGCCCTGAAGTCTCCCACAGCAAAGACTGGTTGAGTCATTCTTGCTCACAGACAGTGGGGAGGGTGGTGGGAGTTGGTTTCAACACCTGGTGTGATGAGCCCACACAAACAGCAAAGTGAGGTCCCTGCTGGGTGTTTCACAGTTCTTATTAGGGAAATGCAACAGGTAGCCAGGTGGGATACAGAGGTAGGAGGGAATGGGGACAGGTTGTTTTAGCTGTAACAGAAAATTCTTTTCCACATTTCCTTGTAAAACACGAACAGAACAAAAAAGATGGGTGAGAGTGAATGAATTGTAGGCCACGGTGACATCCATGAGTTTGTGGAAAGTGCTGCATGTGAGGTTTCTTTGCCACACCACAAATGCACATGTGGATGTAGTGCTGAGCAATATCACTAACATGTTATTCTTCTTTCAGGCAAAGGGCAGAATTGTGGTGGTGCCAGGTAATGTTTTTTTGTCATCTTTTACCAGGTCCTCAATCCCTAGCCCTTCCTTCCTAGCTTCCTGCTTGGGATCCACTCTCTGATCTGGCTTTCTGAGCTGGGTGCCCGGGAGGAGCAGCTCCTGCCCTGGTGTGAGTAAAGGCCACCTAGAGCCCTGCAGCTGCTGCTCACTGCAGGAACTGGGGACAGCTCTAGTTCTGTAGGATAACATGAGTCAAGGCTTCTCCTGTTTCTTTTCATGTGCCTGGGTCTTCATTGTCCCAAGGGCTGTGTTTTCCCTTCAGTGTATATGGTGCTTGTCCCTTATGGGTAGGTCCCAGCGTGATGTCTGGTCTGGGACAGCGTCATCTGCTTGGTGTGTGACATCGGGTTTGTTCCCACCAGGAGGTGGCATCACGGAGCGCAACCTGCAGAGGATTCTGGAAGGCTCCACTGCCTCTGAGTTTCACTGCTCTGCTCGCTCAGCCCGGGACTCAGGGATGAAGTTCAGGTAACTGATTATTTATGGTTATATTTTAGCAGAACTGTACAAGGGAAAGGCTAGATGAGTGTGAACATGAGTTTGTAGAACAGGCATAAATTTCAAACAACTTCCTGGGTGCTGTTGCACTCCTGTGCTTGAAATTGTGAGAGGTGCCTGACACAGTATTCTGCAGTGTATGAATCCAACAGTGCTCCTCATCTGGACATGAACTCCATGCAGACCCAGATCCTTGGAGCATTTCTCCTTCTGCTGCCAGCCTGGGAGTTGTGAGTGCACTTGTGTGGCACTTGGGAAGGCAGGTTCTGGGATGTAGTTGCCTTTTAACATCAGCATGCAGAATTTGGGAAGCCAGTGGGATGTGCCTCAGAGGAATGAGCAAGGAATGGGTTATATTTGTCCACAGATCTGCACTGGGTTTCTGCTGATGCTGTTGGTTTTTGCCTTTGGATTATTATTTTTTCTGTTACTGTTCCATCTTCAGTTTGGGTGGCACCAGCAGGTTCTTTGGCCACTGCTGAGATGAGGGGAGATGGGTTTTTTTCTTGTGTTCTGTCTCACCCATCTGTATCACCAGCAGATAGTAACCATTGGTTTTCCTGACAGAAATCCAAACGTTGCCATGGGAGCGTCCTTCTCTGCCCCTGAGTACTCCATAAAGGTGGCAGATGTGGCCAAAGTGAGGACCCTGAACGCAATTGCAAAGAACATTCTGTAGTGGAAGGCACCGTGCTGGGACAAGGACGCTGAGACTCCAGGGTCTTCCCTGCCACATGGACAGATGGATACTGCTTCCGTCCTCAGGCTGCAGAGGACGTGCACTAGGTGATGAAGCCTGACACCTCTTCCCTTGGCTTCCCCTGAAAGACCAGTCCCTGGCCTGGAAACTGATGTTGGCTGTTTTAAATAAAAGGACTCATTCCCAGGTGTTGCAGCAACAAGCTGTTGGGCAGTATTTGGGAGGAAGGGAGCTGAGCAAGTAGGGGGACTGAATTGTGTAGCACTGCATGTGATTGTCAAATAAACACTGCAGCTGCCCCCCTCTTGCTGTGGTTTTCTAAAATTTATTTACGTTTTTAGGTAAGACTGTGATCCGTGTTGCACAGCCTGAAAAATCAGACCCCTGCTGCACCAGAGGAGAATACAATCATATCCAGAATGCCAGGGAGGGAAACATGATAGCAACAGCTGGAAAACAAGGCCTGCTGTAGTCAGCCAGTAGGATTAGCAGTGCAGCAGCTGCTGGGTAGAGAGAAGCACATTGATATGTACGGGTGATGAAGACATTAATTTGTAATGGCAGGGAGTTTCTCACTACCTGACTCATGAGGTGAGGGGGCTCTGAGACATCCTGGGCTGTGGGCCCTCAGAGCTTGAGATGGGGGAGGCATGTGATGAGATTTCTTGGGAGGACCAAGTGCTTTTTCTAAGGGAGTTTTCATGTCCTTTTCTGAATGTGAAGCACAAGCTGTTTGTTCACCAGACAGTGTTTGGGGAATGTGCCATTTGGGTCATTCCTGCCTAGTCATGATTGAAGCCCCAGACTCGTATCAGTCACCCTGCAAAATACCCAACAAAAGATCTGAATGGCATCAGAGTGGTCCGTTAAAAGAGTAGAGACCCAGAGATAAAGCAACTTTAACCTTGCTGCCTCCTCTTCTGTAAAAGCTGAGGAGAATCCCTCTGACAGCAGAGATAGTGGACCTTCTTAGGAAGCAAAAGCAGGATTCAGATTTCTCTGTCCATCTTGGCAATAGCTTGCAGCCTGTGAGGATATACGGCAAAAATGTGGTATTTGACAAGGTGGCAGCACTTTTGTCCCCTTAAACAGAATCAGATCATTGAAAGCCTATAATCATTGTATTTTCAGCTCAAAGAGTACATCCACCTGTTCACATGAATCCAACAGGAGTATCACTCTCTCCCAAAACACACCTTGGGAACATAAGTGGTAGTTCTTAACAGAGGATATGAGAAGGGAATGACTGCCTAATCCTGGTGTCAGAGCTGTCATCAGCACTGACATGTGCAGGCAGTAGGAAGGATCCAAATTTGGAAGAAGAAATGGTTAAATTTGTTGTTATAGTCAATGTAGTTCAGAATATCTGATTTAAGAGTTCATGGCTTATGTGAGATTTCATGAGTCATGGTCATGATTAAGATACTAGTAGCTCAATTAAGATGAATATTCTGCTGACACAGAGTTTGGCTCTTTCCTCTGTGTTTAAAGTTCGAAAATAAAAAGGCTTTTGAACTCGAATGGCATTACAGTGTGACAAAGCAGAAAAACAGAGAAATAAATCCTTCAGAGAAAAGATGAGTAGTGAGGGCTGGACTGATTTGTAGATTGCTTGGCAGAAACCTCTGTCCTGGATTGGCATGAAGCAATGCCTATTTTTCGAAAAGTTATACCATGCTGGACAACAGATGGATAAAGGCATGGGAATACAGGGAAACTGTGATATTGTCAGCCAGAGAGGTGCTACTGCTTTGATTATCTTGGTCCCAGTGAAGATTTTTTGGGTATTTTAGTGAAAGAAGCTTTATGGAAGGAGCTGAAGGACAGTGAGGTGGCTTTGTGTGGTTTTGGGAGAAGCATGTCCCAGGTATGAGGGTAGAGAAAGTGAGGGTGTACTTGCTTTGAACATTAAAGAGAGCTGGCATCCTGTGCTGAGGGAAACACTCCAGCTCTGAATGAGAGCAAAGATGGGGCGGGGATGGGCTGTGACCTGTACTGAAAACCAAGACAAGCAGTGGACAGGACATTACAGAGGAAGGTCTCACCAGCAAGTGGTCCCCTTGGCATCAATGCTTCAGGTGGGTTTGAGCAAGGCCACAGGACACCTGTGTCAATGGGCAGAAAAGAATCATAGCAGCAGTCTGGATGGAGAAGGGCTGAGGAAGTGACTGCTTCATTCATTTATTTCTTACCCATTGTATCAGATTGCAGCTCTCATCAGCAGTGTACTGGTTCTGGCCTGGAGGACCTAGCACTAGGGATAGTTTTATTTACAAAAACGTGGATTTAATCAGAGAAACCAGTAATAATTAACCAAGGAGTTGGACATTGAGCCTTTCTCTGGTATTGATGGTTCCTGAGCAATTACTCATTGGGTCACCCTTGACTTCTGAGTTATCTACTAACTCAGTGAACAATGAGACAACGTGATCCTTGCAGTCACCCTACCTTTCTACTGTTCCTCAAGAGCACAAATGATTAAGCAAATCCAGTTCCAGCCTTAGAGACACCATCCCCATGTGCCCCTAGCATACTTCCACCTTTCTAAGCAGCAGGGTGATGATTTAATGGCAGTCACTGTCCTCAGGAGTGTTCCTCTGTCTCCAGTGATGGGGGTTGCCTTAGAATGAAGATTCAAAGTCTCTTTGGGGTTTTGTGGCCACGCAGCTGCCATAACATGCAGACAACGTGGAAATGTGGGAAAGGGAGAAGCAAAAGTAATAGTTCAAAAAGCCTCCTGGCTCTGCAGGCAGGAAGTTGGTAAAAGGAGCCCAGATCCTGGGTATTCAGAAAGACCAGTGCAGCATGTGGTCAGCTCAGCTGCCAGACACTGCAAATTCTCAAGCCTGGGACACTGCTGATGTCATGGGCCTCCTTGCTGGTTGGCATATGAAAAAAAGGGTACTGTCTCCTTTGGCTTCTGTGGGACCAGCTCTTGCTGGACTTTTTGTCACCATTCAGCAGGCTTGTTCTGGCAGGAGAGATCGTTGCAAAAAAGCAGTGTCTTCAGTGGGTCCATATGAGCTTGTCTCTGTTGGTGTGCACTGATGAAGGCTAGTGGTTTCTGAACAGTGGCTGTGGTGTCCTGCAGTGACTCTGGCTTCCCTGTATCTCCCCTTTGATCTCTTTTTTGAGTCTTCCTCTCCTCCCTTCCCCTGATCCCATGTGGTTTCCCAAGCCCTTTTGGTCACAGCTTTGATTTGTGGTGTTGTGCAATAGCACCAAGTTAATAAATAACTGTGTGTCATCAGGGATTTTGTCCCAACGCTACTTGAGGGCGTGGGGGACTTTTATCCCAAGCATCCACTCAGGACTTGGGCAGAGCGCGGAGAAGGAGCTGCCGTCTCTTCTCCCCTGAGCCATGTCAGCAGCCCTGGAGGAGTTCTGCGGCTCCATCTTCTGGGTGAGTGGCAGCATCATCCCTATTGCCTGTTCTCAGGGCAGGACACTCAGTGGATGGGGAGAGCAGTAGATCCCAAGGCTCACAGCTTGTCCTGCCAGTGGAACCCAACGGCCAGCAGTCGACAGAGGTTCTGATATTTATCCAGGACTGCCACAGCACTGAGAGCTGTGCGGTGCCTGCGTGGTATTCACAGGACACTGAGGCAATGACAGCTCCCTAAGTGAGCCTTGGCCTGTTTTGGCCCAGCTGGAAACAGTACACCTTGCATAGACCTCTTGGGGAATGATTTGGGTCCAGCTGCTTCAGCTGGCTTGGCTCCAGCAAGGGAGCCCATCCCAGGCTCAGGCAGATAGATGGGGAGAGAGATATTATGTCAAACTTTGGCTGAGTGCTGAAATGCTCAGCCAGGAGGGTGGGTGTCAGGAGGGGTGCAGTGGGGGTGGGCACCTATAGGAGTGCTGGCTCTTGTACTGTGAACCAGGTGAGAGTCAATCCATCCCAACTGACTTTGTTTTCTGTCCTTGCTGCCCCCAGAATGATTCTTACCTTGCTCGTCCAGATGCCGACCTGCCTGTGTGCTTCCAGCAGACTGTGCTGGTCTGGGTCCCCCTTGGCTTCTTCTGGATTTTGGCTCCATGGCAGCTCTTGCCCATGTGCAAATCCAAAGCCAAGAAATCATCTGTGACCAAACTCTACATCATCAAGCAGGTAGCGTGGGGCTGAGGGGGCACGGATGACAGGCTGGGGCAGCCTGGAATGGAGGTGGTGTAAGTGGAAGGCCTCTGTGCTGGAGTCAGGTATGGGATGGAGAGATGAGAAATGTAGGAGAGAGAGAGCAGTGGGATAGGGCACCATCAGGGACAGAAATGTAAACGGGAGTCTAAGATGATGCATATATCTGGGACAGAGGGGACAATAGGGGTGGAATACACTGGGAGGGAGGGCAGAGTATATACTGGGGCCTCTCTTGTGGTCTGTTATCCTCCAAACTTAAAATGATGGCAGTGCTCCTGTGGAACTGTTGCAGCTTCACAGTGATGAAAGCTCCCACAGGCCAAGTTTGGGTTGAAAAGAGTGTAAGAGTGCATGTAACACAGTGCTTCTATGCCAAACTGTGTTGTCTTCCAGTGGTTCCCAGTTTTCCTCAGTGGTCTGGGTCTCCCCTCAAGGCTGCCCCTCTCTCCTCACAGATGCTGGCTGCTTTGCTGGTGGTGACGGCAGTGGCAGAGTTGGCCCTGGCATTTGTAGAGGACACAGAGCAGGACACCGTGCCAGCTGTCAAGTACACGAACCCCAGCCTGTACATCGCCACCTGGGTAAGGGATCAGCTGGTAAATGTGCTGTGTGTCACCAGAGAGACACAGTGTGAGACCACGGGCCAAGCAGCAGAAAACTTCCCTGCCTGTTCTCAGAGATCAGTGGGAAGCTGTGTCCATGAGGGAAGTGTAGCCTGCAAATTGGACAGGGACTAGCCCTCAACATGTGTGAGTGGGGCATAAGGGCAATTCATTGAGCACAGGCGTCTGGTTGTACAGCGTTCCCTGCTTTTATCCTTAAAACTGGGATAGGTTCTACGCCTGTGTATGTAGCTGAGCCATCTCTGCTAGAAGCCTTGCTAGCAGCAGTATGGGTTTCACAGGATTGATTGCATATCGTGGACATCAAACCATGCTCTGATGTCTCACAGCTTCCCATGAGTTGCTGCTCACTTTTCTACAGAGAGTCAGGAGAAGTACCACAGGATGGCCAGGCAGAGGAGAAAGCTGAGGACATAGGGGCTATTAGCTTGATGGAATATGTGCATGGAAGTTACAGATATCCTGTAACATCTGTAATCCTGTATTCTAACAGTCTTAACAAAGCCCAAATGCTCAGGAAATGTTACTTTTGCACTTAAAACCAAAAGTAACATCCCCATTTGCTATCCTTTGTATTTTGTCATGTCATTTAATTTCACGTGCAGAGTCCATGTGGCATGATAAGACAAAGGGGACTGCCCATAGAGAGGACTCTGCACTGCTGGGACACGACACGGGTTTAGTTCCAGTTCTGGAGGCAATATGCAGGAGGGTGTGACTCCTGATGGCTGGGCATGTCTGACAATGTGTATGACATGTCTGAGAATCTGGAGTGAGAACAGCTAAAAAGAGAAATAGTGCCCTGCTGTAATGTCAGGGTACCTTCAGACCTGATCTTATGTCTTCCCGAAATAAACCTTTGCCATATGCAGTTAACTCTGAAGCTTATGTAGAGTTGGCAGTAAGCTCAGGCACTGGGAGCTCAGTGTATTCAAGGCAGTGAATCCCAGCATTTCATGAATGCTGGCACCCCGGGACACATGCTTCAAAGACACTTTTAGAGTCCAGACCTAGTCCTGCAGCCCTACCTGAACCTCTGACTGGTCTTTCTTCCCGCAGCTCCTGGTCCTGCTGGTCCACGAGGCACGACGCTTCTGCTTGCGCAGAGACTCGGGGGTACTTTTCTGCTTCTGGATACTGTCCCTGCTCTGTGGGATATTGCCGTTCCAGTCACTTGTCCGGAGAGCCCTGCAGGTTGGATTTGACAGGAAGCTCTGTGCTTCCCTAAGGTCGTGTTCTGTCCCCAAGGAAAGTCCTTCATACTTGTCTCTTGGCAAGCTCTCTGTGGTATCACACAGATCCCAGCTGCCCTGGCAACCTTGGGGAATGAGAAAATACCTGAGAAGGAATTGCTCTTTTAATTCATCCTATCTCTTTGGGGAAGTATAAGGTCTCCAGGACCAATTTCTCTGCTTACAGACTTACGGGAGGAGGTCAGGAAGAAGCGGCAAAAGGAAGCTGATCCAGGCTGCACAGCGAGTTTTACACTGCTGCATTGTGCTCAGCCATGTTCACTGTCCTGGGGATGGATCTTGTCACTGAGTTGCAGGTGGCCTTGAGACAACCCCCAACAATAACCCTGGGCTTTCCATTCCTGCAGGAACCAATCTCCGACCTGCCACGGTTTATCCTCTTCTTCATCTCCTATGGGCTCCAGCTGCTCATCTTCCTTGTCTCGGGCTTCTCAGATGTTGCCCCAGAAACAAAGGAAATCAGGAAGAAGGTGAGAGGACCATGTGGGAGTGGGCTTGGGGCACCACATCCCATGCATTGTGTTGGGCAGGGTGAACTCCGTGTAGGCTATGGAACCTGGAGCTCCATGCTCCAGGCCCCTTGGGGAGGGAAGACCTGAGGGCTTCAGCACATGGCACAGCAAGAGCTGCAGCCTGCAGCCAGGGACGGGGGGCTGCTGCTGGCTATGAGATGGGGTTCTTGGGGTGGGATCTAGCACAGTTGGAAACTTCTGGGGCTCTTTAATGGCTGGGGGTGCTGAATCAACTCTAGTCAACACCACCTCTCAACATCAATGATCTCTTGGTACCTACTTTGCTTTGTACCATAGAACCCAGAGGTGACAGCCTCCTTCCTGAGCTCCATTACCTTTGAATGGTACAGCAGGTGAGCAGGGCTCCATGGGAGGTGGGGCTGGAAAAATGCAAGAGTGCTTCAGGGCTGGCCCAGCCCTGTTTGAGGGAGCCTGCAGCACAGGCTGCTTGGAGTTAGTAATGAGAGGCACCACGCTGGGTTCGGTCTATGCAGCCTGAGCCCAGTTCCAGGCTGGGTGTGAAGTCCTTGCATTTTCAGCAAGGACTCTCCAACAAGTGTCATGCAGGAAACTTGCTGAGAGGTTTCTCTGCCCCACAGCGTTGTTTTCAAGGGCTATCGCAAGCCTTTGGAGATAGAGGATGTCTGGGAATTGAAAGATAAAGACAGGACACAGGCACTTTGCACTGCTTTTGAGAAGAACATGAAGACTGCCATACAGAAGGCCCAAGCTGAACTGGAGAAACGGAAACGCAAGAAAAGACACCAGAAAGGTGACCCAGACCATGGAAACAATATGACCAAGGCCCAGAGCCAAGACATCCTGGTGCTGGTAAGTCCGTTCCTACTCTTGGCCTTGTATGGGACTGACACATCCAGGTCCAGCCTCAGGGAACAGGGTCACCCAATGTCCCTGCAGCCCCTCTTTGATTCTGCAGGGCCATGGACAAGGATGGGGGAATCCATGACAGGGTGTTCCCTGTCCTTGGCAGATCCCCATGTTTTGAGAGACCAAGAAAGTCTACATCCTTCTGCCCTACAGAAGGACAGGAACCACCCTCAAGTCTACAGTACAAGCAGCTCCCTTATCTCTATCTTTCCCTACCCCAAATACCTCCCAGCAAAGAAGTCAGACTGAACATCACTCCATAATCATCCCTGGCCTCAGGTTCTTCCTGGGGTGCCTGGTTTTTGGCCTGAGAGGTTCAAGGTGGTTTAGGTTTTGCAACAATTGCCTTTGGCGCATGAGAGATGTGTTAGTCCTGGGTGTGTATGACATGAGCAGAGATCAGTGAGAGGGAACATGACAGGAGGTAAAGCAAAGGCTTTATTCAGGATACCTGATCTAGGGTCTGTGTCTGTGATGCTGCCCTGGAAGCATCTTTCCAGGTGCAGGAAGCCTGCACAACCAACTCCTTCATTTTTGTGTGGGCTTCCCTCCAGGAGGAGAAGCAGCCGAAGAAGAAGAAGAAGGGAGACAAAGGAGACTCTGGCCCTCCTGAGGATTACGCCAGGGGTTGGTTGATGAAAACACTGGGCAAGACCTTCCGGCAGAACCTCATGCTAGCAGTGGCATTCAAACTGGTTTATGATGCACTTGTGTTTGTCAGCCCCCAGCTGCTGAAGTGAGTCTTTTCTCTCTGTCCCTATCCATGTTCTGTCCTGACTTTTCACCCAACCCCACCACCTCCCTCTGTGCACTATATCCAGGCCCACCATCTCCACATGTCTACCTCTCCCAGCCCCAGACCCTCAGGACATTTTGTGCTCTCACTAAAGGTGGGGGAATATGCTGGGTTACAGTTTAATGAAGAATTGATTTGAGCTGGCTGCCAGCTTTTATGGGTAATAGCTTGCTCCTCGCTCCTTGCATCCTCTGTTACGCAGCCCTACTCCCTCACTGGAGACAGTCCTGGCTCTTCTCTGGGGCCCTTCATGAGTCAGTCGGGCTCAGCCCAACAGGGCCTCCCCAATTCATTTTGCAGAGCAGCACAGTCTCTGTGGATGATCTGACATTACTGACCCACTGCTGTGTGTGAAATGCAGTGTCCTTGGCAGAACAGGGACGCCCAGCAGGTCAAGGGTCTCCAGCTTGCTGAGCATTGAGCCAGCTCTCCAGGGCAGGGTCTCAGTCACCACTCTTGTGAGGATGCTCTCCCTGCGTTCATTTGCAGCATCCTGCTTGGGTCTGTCTCAGTAGAGTGAGTGTCTCATGGGCTTCTTTATCCTCCAGGCTGCTGATTGCCTTTGTGTCGGATGAGGAGGCTTTTGCCTGGCAAGGCTATTTATATGCCATCCTGCTCTTCCTGGCAGCGGTGGTCCAGTCCATCTGCCTGCAGCAGCACTTCAGCTTGTGCTTTCAGCTTGGCATAAATGTGCGTGCCAGCCTCATCGCTGCCATTTACAAGAAGGTTTGTATGGTCCTGTCATCATCCCTGTTGGCTTTCTCCAAGCTGGGCTATGGATATAATCATTCATTGCCTGACCCATCAACCTGGGGTGACTGGGGTGTATGCACATTACTTCTTAGGAAGGCACAGGAAAAGCTTGGCTTGTGGGATGCCCACCCAGCTCTGGGGACACTGTGGATCCTAGTTCTGCTTGGGACCTGGGTGCTGCAGCCATGTGTTTGACAGCTACCAGGGGCTGAGGCAGGTTTCTCTTCAGAGCAGTGTCACACCTAGGGCCATTGCCACTAGGATTCCTGCACAAGGATGTGTTTCGTTTCACCCAGCATCCAGTGGCTCCTGGTGCGTGGGCAGTGAGGAGACTGCCTGTGGCCAGCAGGGAGGCACCAGGAGCAAACCCAGGAGCAGTTTCAGGCTGGCCTGCTAATTGCCTGCTCTGTGCCATGCTGCTGGGAGCCAGGCTGCTCCCAGACTGGCTTGTGGTGACAATGTTTTCTCTTTCCAGTCACTCACCATGTCCAATGCCACCCGCAAGGAGTCCACAGTGGGAGAGACTGTGAATCTGATGTCAGCTGATGCCCAGAGGTTCATGGACATGGCCAACTTTGTTCACCAGCTGTGGTCATCTCCCCTGCAAATTATCCTCTCCATTGTCTTCCTCTGGGCAGAGCTGGGCGCCTCTGTCTTGGCTGGCATTGCAGTCATGGTACTGCTCATCCCCATAAATGCATTCCTGGTTGCCAAGGCCAAAACCATTCAGGTCAGTGGTGGGTGCAAGATCCTTCCTGGTCTCGCACTCCCGAGGCCCACTGTTGCTCTCTTCCCTCATTTTCCACACTCCCCTACCCTTTTCTGTTTTGTTATAGATCTTTCCTAGCCTAGGAAGTTGATCTCACTTGGGCTGGGGGTAGCCTGAGCCAGGGGTGATCTGCTGCTATGAGCAGGAGACAGGTCTGTTCTACCATCACAGTTGAACTTGAACAAGATTAGAGGCAGCCTTGAGGACTGAAATGAGATATTACCAATCATAAGATAAAGCTTTAGCTTCTACCTCACAGCAGGGTGTTGTTTTTCCCCAGATTGTCCAGAGCCCCAGGGGAGCCAAGGTCCAGCTTGGTGGGATGACTTTTCTGGGTTCAGGAGCCCATCCTTCCCTTCCCTGTGGCAGCCCAGATGTGTTTCCAAGGGTGAGCTGCTGTCTGGTTTCGGTGACATCTGGTTCTTCTGTTTGTAGGTGAGGAACATGAAGAACAAGGATGAACGGATGAAAATAATGACTGAAATCCTCAATGGAATCAAGGTGAGCAGTGGACTGGAGACTCCCCAGGCAGCTGCTGCACCCCTCTTGGTGCACTGTACCTGGAGAGAGCCTACCTGTATAACCCTACAGCACCAGTCTTATAGTCTAGCTTGGGGCCCCTGTGTCTGGGGTGTCCAAGCCTCAGTCTTTGTAATTCCCTTGGCTTCCTCACCTTTTGAAAAATTGGGTGGGGAGGAGCTCTGGGTTCCTGGACCAAGACTTGGGAGCCAAGAGAGGGTGTTTCTTGATAGTGAGCCCACTGCCATAGTGGCAGAGGGGCTGGCAGTGACCTGTAAGCTGAAAATGAGGGAGTGTCAGTGTGGAAGTGGGGGAGTGCTATAAGCCGTGGGTTAGGACAGGAGAGGGAAGATGCAATGGCCAAGCAGGCTTCTGAGCAAGCCAGGAGCTGGTGATGGAGGTGCTGGCCACTAGCGAGCTGAGTGTGCAGGTGGGCTTTCCTGTGAAGCCAGCATTGCTCACCCTGCTCATCCCGCAGATCCTGAAGCTTTTTGCCTGGGAGCCCTCATTTGAGAAGCGAGTTAACGACATACGGGCACATGAGCTCAAGGACTTGCTGAAATTCAGTTACCTGCAGTCGATTTCTGTCTTTGTGTTCACGTGTGCCCCCTTCCTGGTGAGTGACAACAGCCCCGGGGAGGGTTGCACCTTCCTCTGAGTGGAGGCTGGGCTGTGTCCAAGGGGATGGGAAATATGGGGAATCTCATATGGAGTGCTCCTGCAGCGATGAAGGCGTTGATATCCCTTCCTCTGCCAGGGATGCAGAGTATAGTCCTGGCTGCTGGCAGGAGAGCTGTGGTGGAAGGGGGTCCCATCAGGGTGGTGAGATGGGGCCCAAAGGAGAAGGGGGAAGGAGGAGGGGAATAGGTCCCCAGCAGAAAAGCACTGCTGAGGCCTAAGGGCAACAATGGGGGTCTGGACACACAGCCACATTGATGGTGCTTTTTCCTGCTGTCTCTCCTAGGTCTCCTTGGCCAGTTTTGCCGTCTATGTGATGGTGGATGAGAACAACATCCTGGATGCACAGAAGGCCTTTACTGCTATTTCCCTTTTCAACGTCCTGCGTTTCCCCATGGCCATGCTGCCCATGGTCCTCTCTTCACTAGTGCAGGTCAGCCCTCCCATAGGGCAGGGGGTGCAGGGGGATCCTATGATACCTCTGCCCAAACCAGAACATGGGACTCAGGTGTGTGATGGACACCCAGGAGTCAGTGCAGGGGGGTGGGACAGGACTTACATATATAACACAGGTTTGGGGCTCAGAGGTTGGATGGGGACTGTGTGATGTGATGCTCTGCTTATGGGGCTCCTGCCAGCCCACCCAGCTGCACCCCATGCCCATGTGCCATCCTCATCCTCTTTCTACCATGGCAGACCAATGTGTCGACTGCGAGGCTGGAACGCTACCTGAGCGGAGAAAACCTGGACACCTCAGCTATCCAGCACAATCCCATTCCAGGCAAGTGAACCTCCAGATTAGTCCCTGTGGGTCACAGGCTGTCCCCAGCCCTGGGCTTTCCCAGTCCTGAGGGCCCTCCCTCTGCTGACAGGCAACGCTGTGCGTTTCTCGGAGGCCACCTTTTCCTGGGAGCAGGACGGCAGTGCTGCGATAAGAGAGTAAGTGCTCTGCACCATATTGGGCGCAGATGGCTGGGGAGCAGGAGGCTTTCTGTGTTTTTAATTGGGGAAGGCAATCACTTCTCACAGTGCTGCTAGACACAGGTGTCCTAGAGACATTGCTCTGTGCTGGTCCCACTCAGGAGCCGTGGGTGACCTGGCAATGCTGCTTCCTAAGCCCTCGTATCTTTGCAGTGTCACCCTGGACATTACACCTGGGAGCCTGGTGGCCGTGGTGGGGGCTGTGGGCTCAGGCAAATCTTCACTGGTGTCAGCTATGCTTGGGGAGATGGAGAATATCAAGGGACACATCAACATCCAGGTGAGAGGAGCCGGCTGGCGCAGGGGGCTTTGGGGCTGCCTCTGAGCTCAGTGGGGAAGCAGCAGGGCAGGACTGTCTCAGCGTGGTGGCTCAGGGCGAGGAGAGGCTGCAGGAGGTGGCAGTGCTCAGGCTGATGCTCTGACAAGGTAGCTATTCTTGTGTGTCTCCTTCCAGGGCTCCCTGGCCTATGTCCCCCAGCAGGCCTGGATCCAGAATGCCACCCTGAAAGACAACATCCTTTTTGGGTCAGAACTGGATGAAGCCCGGTATCAGCAGGTCCTTAAGGCCTGTGCCCTCCTTCCAGACCTGAAATTGCTGCCTGCGGGTGACCAGACAGAGATTGGAGAGAAGGTAGCAGCCCTGCGGGCTATGGATATTCTATAGCACCTGCAGCAGAGAACAGAGCTGTACCCCTGTGCCAGCCCCATGCCCAGAGAGGTCCTTCCTTTCCAGGGTATCAACCTGAGTGGGGGCCAGAAGCAGCGAGTGAGCCTGGCCCGGGCAGTGTACAGCAACGCAGACATCTACGTGCTGGATGACCCGCTGTCTGCCGTGGATGCTCACGTTGGCAAGTACCTCTTCAAGCACGTGCTGGGCCCAAAAGGGCTGCTGCAAAAGAAGGTGAGCACCCATGCCCCCCTACCCCCCACGTAGCCAGGCAGGAGTGGCACTGGCACAGTGTTGATGATCCAGGGAAGACAGGCTGCCTACCTGGGACAGGGAAGGATCCTGTGGCTTTCACATGGAGCTGCAGCAGGCAGGAGAGGCCTCATGGGTGCCCTGTGTCTGCATTGATAAGCAGAGAGGTCCCCAGCTAGGGGATGGAGAGCCTACAGGCCCATGGCTGGGGGACAAGGAGTGTTCTGATGGTCCACTACCCTGCAACTGCTTTGTTGCAGACACGGATCTTGGTGACACACAGTATCAGCTTCCTGCCCCAGGTCGACAACATCGTGGTGATGGCAGCAGGAGCAGTGACTGAGCATGGCTCCTACAGCAACCTGCTGGCAAACAAGGGGGCCTTTGCCCAGTTCCTGAACTTGTATGGCAGGCAGGAGGAGGATGTTTCAGAGAAAAATAACACAGGTACTGGGAACGCAATGGGGCTGTGGCAGTTAGAGGGGCTGTGCATGGATCTTGCGGATATGAAGATCTGATCTTTCAGTCTGACCTGGCTCTATCCAGCCCAGGCACCAGTGACAGCTGCTGTGAATCCTTCCCAGCTTCTGGTAATCAGCAGCACAAGGACTTCCTGCCTAAGATTTGCACCCAGGCATTATGTTGAGCAGCCAGCAAAGGATCTGATTTTTTTACTCTCTTTTTAGTTCATTTATGTATATGTGTCCCAAAATCTTATGTGGCAACAGACTCCATATTTTAGTGATGCTGAGATGAGAGAGATCCTTTGGTTTATTCTAAACATGCCACTGGATAACATTCATCTTTATCATGTCCCCCAGTGCCATGGGGAGGAGTGATATCAGGTCAGGTGGATGCCCACCCTGTCTGGGCTCAGCACAGTTGTCCAGCTGCAGCCTAGCTATTCCCAGACCACCCTGACAGGACCCATCTCCACCTCCTCAAGGGGGTACTCCTGAACTGGACTGATACGACCTACTACATCTCGAACCTACTAAACTAGCACAAACCTCTGCTTGAGGTCACACCAGTGGCAGTGAGCAGCAGAGACTGCCTTCACACAGGTCTTTAGCCCTATGTCCCCTGTCACTTCTCCCTCCAGCACCGTGGATTTCTTCCTCCTCCTGCTGTACTGGGCTTGCAGCAGGGTTGGAGAAGGTGTGATAAGTGATGGTAGGACATAGCCCGGGCCTGGGGTGTGGGGTGAAACTGTGTGCAGCAGAGGTGCATGGGATCTGCTCTCTCCTCAGTGCCTGATCCTACCTTCCCTCATCCCTGTGCTTTTAGCTGTTGGTTTAGCTGGGGATGAAGAGCAGAGTGATGAAGACCTTGAGCCTTGCGTGGAGGAGGGCCCTGAAGATGTGGTGACTATGACCCTGAAGCGAGAGGCCAGCATCCATCGGAGACAATTGAGTCGCAGGTAGGCTGTGCCCTGAGTTCTTGGCTCTCTTCCCTGCCCCATGCACTGCTCCCTCAGAGACATGAGTCTGGGGGCTTCCCGGGAATTTCCTGCTGGGAGCCTCCCTACCTGCTCCTACAAGCTGATCTGGGTCAGGGGCATTTACTCACATTACTCACAGTAATGTGTCACAGCCTTACTCCTTACTCTCTGTGGTCTTCCCTGAAACTCGCACTGCTGGCTGGTTCTGCTTTTGGGGATGAGGGCTACAATTTCATGGCCGTAAATGCCTAATGCTTCCACAAGGCTAATTCAAAGCTGCCCCAGTTGGGACATTATTTTCCAGTGGGCTCTAGCACTGGAGATCCAATGCAGCATAGGGATGGACTCTCAGGAGATTAGGACCAATCCAACATCCTGTGATTAATGATGCCTATCACCTCCCTGCAGCCTTAGTAAAAGGAGCACCAGTTCCTGGAAGAAGGCCCAGGAGGAGCCCCGAAAGAAAGTGAAGGGACAGCAACTGATTGAGAAAGAAGCTGTGGAAACCGGCAGGGTGAGGAGGATGGAGGATGAAGCACTGTGCTGCCAGTGCTACCAGACCCTGACTGTGGCTCAGAGAAGTGTGGGCTGGTGTGGCCCCACTGCAGCCAAGAGACACGAAGGGACAGAGCTGCCTGGGACTGGTGGGCAAGGTGGTGGAGGGAGCACTTGGGCAGCAAAGCGGGAGTCCCAAGTCTGTGCTGGCTGCTATTTGGCTGAGGTTTGCTGGGCAGTGGTAATGAGTTAAATTGGTCCACAGGTAAAGTTCTCCATGTACATGCAGTACCTGCGTGCTGTTGGCTTGTGCTATTCCTTCTGGATTGCCATGGGCTACGTTGCAGAGTACGCCGCCTATGTGGGGACCAACCTGTGGCTCAGTGCCTGGACAGACGATGCGCAGCGCTACCTGAACCAGACCTATCCCACGGAGCAGCGAGACCTGCGGATCGCTGTCTTTGGGGTACTTGGGGTGTCACAAGGTGGGTGTAGGAGGACAGGGGACCCGCTCACCTCAGCTGTGTGGTCCAGAAGGGATATATGACTTGTGAGGCCTGCAGGCAGAAGTGCAGGAAGCAGCAGGGGACCCAGCATTGTCTTCATTTGCCTGCTGCTGCCTTCCTTCCAGCTCCTGGCTGAACTGGGGACAGATACCAGTCCGAAGCCAGCATAAACTGCCCCAGGAAGTCTGTGTTGCCTCCTTAGGTTGAAGATTACTGTCCTTAATCAATTTGGACATAGTGCTAGGGCCCAAGGTTTTCCAAAAGGGTTAGTGTTCCTCCTGGGTGGGGTGGGATGCAGTTACTGGGGCGTCCCAGGAAGGTGGGATGCAGGACTATCCCAGTGGCTCACTGCAGAGCTGCTGGCTTGGAGCTGCTTTGTGACTGTTGAGCCAAAGGGTGCCTGGTGAACTGCTGTCACCCCCTCCACCCCCCCCATGCTGTCCTTGCAGCTGTCTTCCTGCTCTTTGCCACCATGCTGTCTGCTCGGGGTGCCACACGAGCCTCACGGGTTCTGCATCGGCAGCTGCTCAGCAACATCCTGCACGTGCCCATGAGCTTCTTTGACACGACCCCAATTGGCCGCATTGTGAATAGGTTTGCCAAGGTAAGAGAACAGCCCCAGGATGGAGAAGGTGTTTGTTCCAGCAGGTCTGGAGAGCGTTGGGTAATAATATAACACTGCTGCTGTTGAGCACGGCTCAACTGAGCCCAGATAAGGGCCAGAAAGGGACCAGAAGGGCATGGTGGATACAAGGCTGACTGCAAGGCAAGCCAATCCTGGGCTATACTACAAAGACAGTGTCCAGCAAATCACAGGAAGTTGTTATCTCCTCTGCTCAGTGCTAAGGAGGTCACACTTGGATACTGTGTCCTGGTTTGGGGTCACCTGGTCAAGAAGGATGTGGAGAAACTGAAGAGGGTCCATAGTAGATCACCAAGAGAGGTAGGAGCCTAGAGCTCATGTCCCACAGTGAGATGTCCTTCTGGTTATGGACTTTCAGAAAAATATACAGTCTTTTCTATGTAAGTGAAGCTCATAAAACAAAGAGAAAGCGAAAAGGAGGAAAATAAAGACAGGTAATTTCACGTGTGCTGCTGCTCTACTTCTTCCTTTGGTGCCATCTCTTGGTTTTTGGGAATAAAATTTCTCTTGAAATCAAGCCTCAGGCCTTCTGGGTTTACTCTGAAATGAGAGAGTATGTGATGCCAAGCTAGGAGATGGATGAAGGCCAACTGGAGACCTGTGTGCTCCTGTCTGCATGGACCTGTAGTTAGTCCTGTCCCTGTTTCTGTCTCAATTCCTGTTCCTGCATCCTGGGTCCAGACAAAGATGCAATTCCTAAAGCTGGTCTGTGCAACAGGGGAGTATTATAAGAAGTTTTTCTGTTAAATCAGCTGTTCCCAAGCTAAGAGCTGTGGCCCTAAATGAGATTGTAACCATAATACCAATTGAGGATCATCCAATATTTTTACAAGTGTCTGGCACTGTGTTACCATATGAGTGGGTAGGAACCCTGTATGTATGGTGTCTTTGGGATTCTCCCTCTCTCTGGGGTCACTGGCTGCTTCTTCATATGCTCCAGGACATCTTCACAGTAGATGAGACCATTCCCACGTCCTTCCGCACCTGGCTCTCCTGTTTCATGGGCATCATTAGCACATTGATCACGATCTGCCTGGCCACTCCATACTTCGCTCTCATTATTATTCCCTTGAGCATCTTCTACTATTTTGTGCTGGTGAGTAACTGTGGCTTGAGTGAAGCTTCTGCCCTGCTGAGAGCAGTATCTTTGTGGCTGCTGGTCTTTGTGTTGGTAACAAAGCTGTGTTCCTCATTTCAGCGCTTCTATATCTCCACGTCACGCCAGCTAAGGCGTCTGGACTCTGTCACCAGGTCTCCCATTTACTCCCACTTCGGTGAGACAGTGTCAGGCCTTTCTGTGATCCGGGCCTATGAACACCAAGAACGGTTCATGCAGCATAATGAGACCATCATGGACATAAATCAGAAAAGTGTTTATTCCTGGATAATCTCAAATAGGTGAGTTTTACCCCTTATGCCACAGAACAGCCTGTAGCACCTCTCCCCAGGGGCTTCTGGGTCCTGAGAGAGGTCCTTGAGATACTGCAGTTCTCCCTCTTGATCTCAGCATTGAGGGTCTGTGTAGGAACTGGGGGAGTTTAGGATAGAGGTGCCATCTCTGGGAACGACACATGTTAGGGTGATTTTGAAAGACAGAATGTGGACCCTACAAAGTGTCCAGAGCCTGGGTAGGGTGAGCTGTGCAGTCAGCGACTGAGATGCTCTTGGTAGGTTCTGGGAAGAGGCTGATATTTCAGGCCAGGTAGGAGCACGATGTGGGCACTCTTTGGTGTTGATGTCTTACTGGTAGATGCTCTGGGCGTGTGAGGGTTGTACAACTGGGGTTCCTCTGAAATATGGCATTACCAGCAGAGGAGGTTATGTGTGAGACATGGATGGACATAAAATGAACCTGCTTGCAGGCCACAAATGATCTGCAATGTGTACCATGTGTACAGCACTGGGCTCAGGGCTGGGTGTGAGGGGTGCTGGTAGGGTGCTGCTCTTACTGGTGGGCTCTGTGTTGGGCACCGGCAGGTACCTCTCTGCCTCTCCCACTGCCCTTCAGCTGTCCTCTCCTGGAACAGGTGGCTGGCCATCCGTCTGGAGTTCGTTGGGAGCCTGGTGGTCTTCTTCTCTGCGCTTCTAGCAGTGATTTCAAAGAGCACTTTGGCGGGCGGCATCGTGGGTCTTTCTGTCTCCTCTGCTCTCAGCGTGAGTCAATGAAAGTGTTTTCTTATCCCAGGGACAGCCCTGTCCTGGAAGCTCTGGGCTGGCTGCAGGAGGCTGCCCTGTCTCCAGCTCTGATCCACGAAGAGGGGATTATCTGGGGTGTCACATCACCTGGGGAGTGGCTATAGAGCCAAGGAAGCACACATCCCAGTGTGAATGGATGCTGGCTTCCATGAGGAGGAGTATAGTCCTGCTATGGGTCAGAGATGCGGCAGCAAAGTTTTTGAAGACCTAGAGAGGGTGGGCTGTGGCTGGGGACTGGAGATCCCAGACCAGGGACAGTCATGTTCAGGCTGAGTCCCTGAGCTGAGGTGGGAGGTAGTTGTTCCTGGGTCCCACTGAGCTCTGCATCCTCTGATTCTGCCATGCAGGTGACCCAGACACTGAATTGGCTGGTGAGGACATCTTCGGAGTTGGAGACAAACATCGTGGCTGTGGAGAGGGTACATGAGTACATGAAGGTGGAGAACGAGGTGAGGAAAACAGGGTTCAGGCAAGCACCTGCTGTACAGCGTGGTGCTCTCCAGCCTCTTGGAGTGCAAGTCCCCACCTAATGCTCCTGTGCCCTCCCCCAGGCTCCATGGGTGACAGGAAAGCGTCCACCACGTGGCTGGCCCAGCAAAGGCGAGATCCAGTTCATTGACTACAAAGTTCGTTACAGACCTGAACTGGACCTGGTTCTTCAGGGGATCACCTGCAATATTGGGAGCACTGAGAAGGTGCCTCTGCCCTCACTACACTCTTTACAGAGTTACACTGTGTTAAAGCTGTTTGTTCCTCTTGGCTTCAGTCTGTGCGCTGGGGAGGGATGGTGATGGGATGTGGCTCCTGGGGACTCAAGCTGCAGGAATGGGACAGTCTGGGAGATGGTGAGGGTGGGAAGGCCCACCAGAACAAGGTGGAAAGCATCTGCCCTCTTTTCTTCAGCCCTGGTCTAAAAAGCTGCTTCCACAGGTCGGGGTTGTGGGCCGGACCGGGGCTGGAAAATCCTCCCTCACCAACTGCCTCTTCCGAATGCTGGAGGCTGCTGGAGGGAAGATCCTCATCGATGAGGTGGACATAGCAACGATTGGCCTCCATGACCTGCGCAAGAACCTCACCATCATACCTCAGGTGAGCTGATCACCACGTTTCCATATCCCACTGCTGCATGGCTCCTGCAGGCTGTTTCCTGGGTTTTGCATTGCCCTCAGTGCATCCCTGGGTGCTGTGGAGACACCAAAAGCTGTGAGCATGCTGTCACCACCTCCCCTGCCCAGCTGCAGGCAGCAGCATGGGCAGGATGTGGCCACACTTGGGGGCCTGAAGCCATTGCCCTGCTGAATGGCTGTGGTGTGGCTGAACACGGTGCTGTCCCTGGCAGGACCCTGTGCTCTTTACTGGAACCCTGCGGATGAACCTGGACCCCTTTGACCAGTACTCAGACGAGGAGGTCTGGAAGGCCCTTGAGCTGGCTCACCTGAAGACATATGTGCAAGACCATCCTGAGGGACTTCTGCATCTTGTGAGCGAGGGAGGGGAGAACCTGAGGTGAGCAGGCCCAGCTCCCCTCCCTTCTCTTGCTCCAAGGGACCAGCCTGGAACAGCAGCCTCCAGCAGAATGGCTGTCCAGAAATGAGGGCACAGAAGCTTCTGGGAAAAGAAGGTGGGAGAAAAGGGTACAGGAGCCAGGGCTCTCAGGATGCCAGCGTGAGCCAGCCCTTCTATGAGGGCCCAGAAAGATGCTGAGAGATGGGGTGCTCAGGGTGGCAGATGCAGGGGGAAGGCCAGGCACAGTGTTGGGTCAGGGCAGTGTGTGCCAGTAGGCTTGCAGAAGCTCTGATAGTGTCTGTTTAGTAACTCATGTTTTCCATCTCATCCCAGTGTTGGGCAGAGGCAGCTGGTGTGCTTGGCCCGGGCCCTTCTCCGCAAAGCCAAGATCCTCATCCTGGATGAAGCAACAGCAGCTGTAGATCTGGAAACTGATCATTTAATCCAGACAACAATCCGGAGCGAGTTTTCTGACTGCACTGTCCTTACTATCGCTCACCGCCTCCACACCATCATGGACAGCAACAGGTACCATGGGACAGCACCATGGGGCAAGAGGAATGGGAATCTGGACCCCTAGGATGGGGCAAGAGGTGGCCAGCAGCAGAAGCAAGGATACAGCCAGAAGGGCAGGGGTGGATGTAGTGCCTGGGGCAGTAATACACAGTGGTTCCAGAAGAGAACAGAGGGGTAGGAAGGTTGGCCATGCAGTAGTTATGCCTTTGTGGGAGAAACCTTTTTTGGTATCGTTCTTTACAGCAACAGACCATATAGGCACTCACTGTTGGCACCTTATGTGCCAGCACAGGGAGGAGGGCTGTGCCCTCACCACTGCTGAGAGGTGAACCGCATAACGTGGCCACAGGAGTGAGACTCAGTGGGGGTGCAGCACTGGTGCCATCAGTGCTATCAACTCGGACCCTGGGAGCTCAGGCCTTCTTGTTCCCCTCTGCCAGGGTGATGGTGCTGCAGGCTGGGCAGATTGTGGAATTTGACAGCCCCGAGGAGCTGCTCCAGAAGCAGGGCATCTTCTCCATGATGGCAAAGGACGCTGGCATCACCAGTACCGAAAGTACTGCCCTGTAGGGGGAGCGCTGCAGCGTCCAGGTGTGTGCGGGCAGCTCCCTCCTGCTGGCGCTCACCGAGCTGGCGTCAGCGTCTCCCCGCAGCCAAGCTGCCCAGGAATTTGCCTTTCTGCAGCTGGGAAGCAGAGAGGGTGGCTTCTCTGGTTGTCCAGAGACAGAGCATCTGGACTCGAGTGAGCTGTTAACATTGCTACCATGCCCTGCCTGCTGTGCACACAGGGGTCTGGAGCTGCTTAACTTATTCTACAGAGGGGAAAAGCTATCTGTGATGCAGGGAGATCATGACCCCTGTTGGGAGTGGTCTTACTTTTTGTACTTCACCATGCCAGGTGAACCTACCTTAGAGATGCTTTAGCACTGTGGAATTAAATTACTGTTTAATCTAAGAGTGGATGCTATAATTTATTTACTTTTTGTAACTGTTTCTGGTCTTTCAACTTAAAGGCTGACATCAAGTAAGCCTTGGTTTAGCCTTAAACCCAGCTAGTGCTTGGGGGAAGCTGCCCACAGAGGTTACACAGAGGGGTGGGCAGTCCAAACTGAGTGGCACAGCTATACCCGGGCATGAACACTATGTGGCAAAACCAGGGTCTGCTGGCCTTCCCTGTGGCTATGATCCCTTCGATGGTAGTGCAAATAAATGAGCCCCTCCCTGAGGCTATTTGTAACCAGCAGTGGGGCACATTTTGGGCTGTGGCTCCAGACTGCAAACCCAACTGTGGTGGAGACAAGCTGAAGAGGTGTAGGCACGTGTCTGTGCTACAGCCATGCACACACAAAATATGGTGGTTACTCTTGACAAACTCTTGACTCCTCTTTGTTCCTGGACACCAAAGTCAGGAGCTGTAATGCTGACCTCAGTGCTGGCATGGAGGGAGCAGGTGCAAACACAAAAACCCCCACCCTGCAGGGGAAGAGGGCAGTGCAATCACTTAATGAAGAATGTTCCTGTGAGGGTTTCCCAGTGTGTGGCACAAACACCATGGCAGAAGCATGCCGGACCCCAGTGAAAGGGAAATTTTCCTGGCCTTGCTGGATCTGCATGAAGTGTGTGGGCTTTGCCCTCACTGCAGCACTGGCCAGGCACTCCTCCCAGCTCTCCCAACATTTGCACAGGCACCTTCTATACACAAGGGTAAATCTTTATTTACAGAGCAGCAGTACAGGGGATACAAACATTGCCCCATGAAGAGAGCTTCTTCCCTTCTGGGCATGGCAGCAGCAGGTATCACACACCAACCCACCAGAAGGCAACACATCCCTCCCAGGGATGGTCCTGCCCTTCCAGAACATCAGCACTGTCTCCAGTGCCCTGAAAGAAGGCACAGGTGAGGCAATTCTGGTCAGAGCCCCCAAAAAATCAAACTGGAGGACAATTTGTGCTTTGCCTTCTGCCCTGCCCCAGCCCAGAGCTGCTAGGTGGGCTTGTCAGAGCAAAGATGGGTCTTGGGCATGGGAAATGCACTGACAAGGCAAGATGGTGTTCTGGACTTCTGGCTCACCTGAGATAAGAACCTGATGGCTGCTGGTAGCAGCAGAGCTTGGAGAGGCTGAGCCCCTGGAAGGCCAGGCACAGGGATAAGGCACCTGCTGAGGGCTTTGTTGTGGGAATTTCAGAGGCCAGGCCCATCCCAGCCCTGGAGCTCAGCTACTCCCAGCAAACCTCAGAGCTGCTTCCCCAGGCAGGTGTAGATGTCCCACCCTGAGTCCTGCACAGACAGACAAAACCCAGCTCCCGCTGCTGCTGCTGAGAAGGCACAGAGAGTACGTTGGCGAAGTCTGGGCTGCTTTTAATACTACTTGACTAAACAGTCTCCAGAAACTTGGCATTAGTCTTCCACAATTTAAACCCACAGCAGCTCCTCAGCTTTAGTCGAGCCTTACCCTCCTGGGCAGACCACAGCCCCAAGCCTTGCTCCCCTGCCCCTGGCTGCACACAGGAGGCTCAAACAGCACAGGTGAACTCACCCCTGCCCTCACATAAGCTACCTGTCCTGCCTACCTGGCCAGCTCACCATTCTTCCTCCCTTGATGGGGAGGTGGCAGCCAGTGTGTTGGGGCCCAATAGCACTGCACAGCTGTGAGAGGGACAGTCTTGGGGCAAGCAGTGGGGGCTGCAGGGCTGGCCAGCCTCCCCAAGACCCCCAGCAGTCCTGGCAGGAACAAGGCATGGGGTGCAGGCTCCTGCCTGCTGCCTCACGTGTACTCTGTCTTCCGGATGTAACTCGAGGGCACATAGCCCTGCTTCCCGTGTGCCTCGGCCAGCCACCACTCCTGATTGCCTGTGATGTCCTCAAACTGCAGGATCTTGAGTCTCTGGTTAGCTGACACACTCAGCTCATTAGTGTTTCGGCCTTTGAAGGTGTAGAGAGCGTAATAGACCTGCCAGACAGAGGGAGAGTATCACTTGGATGGTCAGACCACACAGCCTTGCTGTTGCACTGCATATGATGTGTGGGCTTTTGTCCTTTTCACCACACAGTGCCAGCCCTAGCCCTGTCCTGGCCTCTGCCAGAGCTGCATCCACCTGCCCACCCCCATTTGCAGCCTGGTTCTCTGCCTCTGCACCTCTGCTGCTGGGAGAAAAGATCTCATACTTCACGTTTCACCTCTCCCTGGTCACTCCCAGGGAGGAGGATGACTCAGTCCCCAGTCAAGCAAGGGGATCAGCCCTCGGGATCCCCAGCCTCCCAGGGGTGGCTGAGAACTCACCTGGTTGCCCTCTGACTCGCTGCTCTCCAATCCAGAGTCTCTATCCTCCACTGAGGGCGTGGGCCTGAGACGCGCTTTGGTGAGGTGCCCGTTGCGAGAGCTGGGGCTGCAGCCCAGCTCGGGGCGGCTGTAGCGGCACTGAGACATCACCGTACCAGCCTCCAGTGGGGCTGTCCTGTCACCACACCCAAGCTGGGGCAGAGAGGGGGAGTCCATCTCCAAGGGGGGCTGCCCAGACCGGTATGTGTCTGCTGGGGAGGCAGAGTCCTGCAGGGGTTTCTGAGTGAAGGTGACGGCCACCCCGCTGGAGCTGAAGGTCAGTGTGGCGTTGCTGTGGGGAGAGGAGTTGCTGTGCTCCGACTCGTTGGAAGAGTGGCTGCCGACAGAGACATCTGACTGACTGCGGCGTGGGTTGTAGGGCTTCAGAAAGGAGCTGTACACAAACCCTTTCGTCACTGCAGAGAGGCAAAGAAGAGAAGTCAGGCTGGGGCATAGGACAACCAGAGGAAGGGACTCCCCACAGGCAGCAAGGGCAGGGAGCAGCCACTCACCTCCATTATCTATGAGCCAGCGATTCTGGCTGCCCATAGGGTCCTTCTTCTTGATGACGCCCACAATGTCTCCTTCCAGCAGTGAGACATCCAGGTCCTGGGCAGCATTGAAATTGCGCTCTGCCTGGAAGAGACTCTCTGGGGGATAGCGGGCCAGGAGGGCAGCTCGGACGTCATCCGACTGCAGGAAGTAGGTCGGCTGCAGAGGAACAAGGCAGGTGTGAGTGGCTGTCCTGGGCTCTGCAAACCCTGACACCAGGCAGAAGGAACTCACCAAGCTGCCAAGGGGCTGCCGCCGGGCGGACTGCCGCTCCATGCTCTTCCTTTCAAAAGTCTTCTTGGGAGCTGCCTGGGACTCTGGGAAGAAGGTGAAGGCCTGGAGCTGCTGGAGGACTCGACTGTGCTCATCCTGGAAGACGGCAATGAGGTTCCCCTCCCTGCCAGACACCTTTAGCAACTAGAACCAGAGCAGAGTTGGACATCCTGTTAGGTGAAGTTGCTGGGAAAAGTGGCCAAGAGCTACAGCAAAGACCATAACAGGGGTTCTGCATCCTGTCTGTGACTTGCATCAGACCCAGATTTGCAGTCCTGCCTGGACTCAGCTCTGAGTGGTCCTCAAACTCATGACCTGAGATTCTCCCAGGCAAATGCTCTTCTGCCACAATTGCATCATGACCCCACAGTCCCTGCCCTGACAGCATCCCACAGGAGCCCTCCACAAGTCACTTGTGGCCTTAAACAGGGACAAGCTCTGCACAGAGTTTAGTGCTGCACCGAGCCCAGAGCACTGTCTGCACTCCGTGAACCCACCGACAGCAGTGGTCTCAGCTCCTCCAGGGCCAGGCGCACGAAGTCGCAGTGTGCCTCGGCGTAGCCCCGCACGCAGCTGGCAAACAGCTCCTTGGCAAAGCGCAGGAACTTGGGCAGCTCATCCAGCAGCTGGGCATTGAGGGCCTCGTAGTTGTTGCGGGCTGACTGCAGCTCCTCCAGGGTTCGCTTGTCCTTCAGCTTCTCTGCTCTCTCCGTGCAGTTGTGGAAGTCAAGGAGCTTGTCGAACCGTTTCTGCACCAGCTTGTGGGGCCCTGCAAACATGCTCAGCAGCTGGTTCAGGGGTGAGCTCACCAGCCGCTCCGTCCGCTCTTTCTGGTGGGCAGAGATGCAGAGAGAAGGTGAGACAAGATATTCTCTCCCACTGTGCAGTGAACACTAATAGCTCATTTTCCAGCACACAGGAAAATGTCCTCCCTAGGACAGTATAGGGACTATCTTCCTGGTGGCACCCACAAAAGCTCCAGAGCTCCCTTCCAAGAGGAATTATTCTATAATCTTATGTAACTGTGCCAGCACAGGTAACACCATGGAAAGTACCTAAAACACTCACATAAAGAGTTGTAGCATTTTCAGGTAGGGCTGAAAAAATGTGTTTCTAACAGGCACATCCATAAATTCCCAGGCATCAAAGCTCTCAAGAAGGAAGAACTAAGCAGGAGTGCTCACACCTCTCCCAAGTTACCCTCCCTGCAGCCTCCCAGGGGCTGCCCTTCTGCAGCAAGTCCCCAGGGAAGGCCCCTGAGGGGTACCTCCAGCATATGGGAGCACAGCCTCACTCACAAAGTTGGAGAAGAGTTGGTCGCTGATGAGACGATTCACTTTCTGGAACTGGTCCAAGTCCCCACTCGCCTTCTCTGTGCACAAGTCCCACATGCTCCCTGCTGCCAGTGCCTTCATACAAGCAGACTCCTGCACCAGGGAGACAGAGTCAGTTCAACCACACCTGCTGCCCAGAAGAGGCCTCCCAGGGCAGCCCAGACCCTCAGAGACCACCCTCCCTGCAGGGCTGAGGCCAAAAGCCCTGGCCAGAGGCACTGCAGGTACACACCATGCAGACAGGAGGGGCAGTGCACGGCGAGTCCCACCGGTTTGGCATCACACCCAGACCAACTCACCCGAACATGCTGCAGGTAGAGGGAAAGGTCCCGGATGAAGGACTTGATCAGCCGCTCCTGCATCCGGAAATTTTTCTCCATTTCTTCAAAGGCTTCATCCTTCAGCTATGAGAGAAAGTGTTTCAAGGAAGGCAATGCATGACTCCAGCACCTTCCAGAGTGCAAGATGTGGGGCCTTTTGCCCACAAGCTGAACAGCAGAGATGGGTGGTTCAGACCCTAAGCTCACACTGCCTTGCTGCTCTTGATCAGAGCTACACTTTGGGGAAGAGGGGTGGAGGAATAGCAGATACCACTGGAGAAGCACTGCAGGGTGTAAGTGTATGATGCACATTACCTGGGGTGCAAAGCCTGTGAGATGCTTGAGGTGGCTGCTCACACGGTTGGATTTCTTGATGATAGAGTGGAAGTTGAGCTTGGAGATCTTCTCCATGAGGCTATCCTCATCCCCCTTCCTGTACTTTAGCACTAAAGAGATTGATATAGAAATTAAAACCCTTGTAAGCACAACACTCATGTCTTACAGTGCCTCATTAACAATCACCTTGCTGGCTCTCCCCCTCCCCAAGCCTCTGTAGTCCCAAGTATCCCTCATATCACTATAGAATGGTCTGGATTGGAAGGGACCTTAAAGGTCCATGACTGTGTCAGATAAGGCTCAGGGGTGAGCAGACACCAATCTCAACACACCCACTCCTGTCTCTTCTGCCCAGCCTGCCCAGCTTCTCACCCAGGTCCTTCCGGCGCTTGTATTCATTGATGTTGACATTGATTTCTTTGACTGCAAGGACAGCAGCTGTGAGTGGTGCCTTATCAGGATGAGCCTCGGGAGTGGCACTCAGCAGCTCCATCAGCAGCAGTGGGTACCGCATCACCCTCTGCACTGGCTTGATGAGGAAGGAGCCCAAGTTAATGTAGTTTGTGCAGCCCCTGGGAAGTCAGGACACAGGAGATGTACCAAGTGTCAGTCCAGCTCTGTCACACAAATTCTGCCTCCTCAATCCAAGCCAACCAGACTCAGAACACCGCCTCTAAATCCACTGTACTCCCTAAGTCATGCCACCCTCATGTCCAAACTCACTGCACTCCTGAACTCCTGGTGCTCTCAGATCAACTCCAGGTTTCCAGTTCTCACTCATACCAGGTGATTTTTCCCAGCCAGGATCCCCTCCATCACCAGACCCACCATGAAATTCTACATAGGCACAGCCTCACACTTGCCAGAGCACCACCTGTCTCAGACTCTGTCCCACCACCCAACTGTCCTCAGTCATTGCTGAGGGCTCCCAAAACCTGTTTCCTGATCAAAACCTCCCCATGCCTCATCCCCTGTACTCCCACCTGTGTTGCCCATCCACTGGGTCTGCTGCAATCATACCACACACCCCCCTCTCCTCACAGGTGTGCCCCAAGGCACTGTTAGGCCCCCTCAGCATGCACTCAGCCAGTGGCAGCAGATTAGTTACAAAAGAAAGCAAAGCCAAGACAGACAGACAAGCAAGGACTAAGTGGAAGGATGCACTTACCACTCACTGTACAGGCTCCTGCCGGCCCACAGAGTGCCAAAAAGCAAAGAAAAGCAATGGGTTAATGTGGTGGCAGGTGTGCAGCCCTGTCCCCTCAGAGCAGTTGCCAGCTCCTGGGGCATTAACCTGCACAAGCTGGAGCCATGGCAGTCACTGAGCCAGGCAAAGCGGCTCCTTCCTCACCAGCCATGGTGGGTCAGAGTTAGGGAAACAGGAGCCCTCAACACAGTATGTGCCACCTCCTCTGCACCTTGGTGGCTTCTATGCAGATTTAAGGGGGTCTGCAGGTTTTCCACCACCTGTGCATTGGGGCAGGGGGCCATTTGAATCCAGTGCCTGATCAGCAATGCGGTGACACAGTAGACCTGAACTGTTCAAACACTGCTGACAGAGAGGCAGGGATGTTGGAGACTGATTCCCCCTACCCCAGCCTGGTGGCTGCCAGACAGAGGCTCCAACCTGAGGCTATCCAATAGGTCCAGGAGTAGTTTCTGCATCTTCTCATCCTTCTCATAGGTTTCCAGCAGTGCGATGGCCTCATCATGGTTCTGGCAATATACCCTGTAGACACTCTCCAGCTCTGCACGCTGTGCCAGGAACACTGGCCCTGCAGACAGCAACAAAGCAGGATTTCAGCGTCACCTGGTCCCCAGGTGCCTTCAAAAACGTTGGTGTCCCTCATGGTGAGATGTCCAGCGTTCCCATTCCGCACAAACAGGTCAAGAAGATGGTGCTACTAGAGCATGCAGGACACCTCCTCCTCACCCACTAGCATGTAGAGCTCAATCAATCCAGGTCTCCCGGGGGTGAGAAGAGGAGACACTGGTTGCTGGAGCCAAAGAGCAAAGGCATCATCAGTCCAATGTCTGAAGGGGCAGTGCAGGAGCGAGGAGTGGGGCTCGCTTTGGGGCAAGGGGCCACGGAGGGCTACAGGCACCGTGTTTCTCAGCAGTGACCCATGGGGCAACACAGATCTCTCTGGCTTCGCTGTTGGACTGATGAGAGGCAACAGAAACCAGCAGGGAGAAAGCCAAGTCCCAATGATCTTCTCCCGCCATTTAAACTGTTATGCCCAGCCACTAGCAAAGCTCATCCCAGCCTTCTGACAAAAGTTAACAGCAGAATCCATACCAATGGCATCTGAAGCCTCCAAGGTGGACAGCAGCTGCTTGGAGAAGCTAATCACCATGTGGATGTTTCCAAAAAGGGCCTCAAAGTCTATGTTCTGCATCTAGTGAACGGGAAAAGAGATGTCCTGGATGGGGGAACAACTCCAAGTCAGACCCAACAGCCCCCTCTTGCCCTCCTCCAACTCATCAGTCCTCAGCTTCACAGCAGACACCTGCTGCCACCTCCTTCCATCACAGTGACTTCTGTACACACTCCCTTGTCCCCCAGTGCACTGAAACTCTCACTCCTAATGTGTCCTACCACAGTGTTCTCCTCTTTCCCAGCAATTCCATCCCCACCTTTGTTCACCTTGTTTTTCTTGCTCTCCTCCCAATAATTCTGTTCCCATGCCAAGACCCCATATTTTAATTCTCCTGACAATGAATTTAACCTACAAATCAAATGAAGAGGAACATTTCCTGCCCCAGACAATGAATCTGTGATACTTGCTCCCAGGTCTCTTGCTCTCAGCAAGCCTGAAAGCTCAGCAGGATCTCAAAACAGACAGGCTATTGCTACAAATGCAAGGAGCTGCAAGAACCATCCTGTTCCCCTCGGCATAGCTTGAATTTCCTTTATAGGTTTCCATGCTGCTTGCTTGCCTCTGAGAACAAAATGGACTCAATATCCTCACCCCAATCCTCCAGTGCTGCACCACAGCTTGCCCTCCCTCCCAGCTCCTACCTGTGCCTGCTGCAGGGGCACCATGATTCTCTCCACACACATCTCCAGGTCTCTGATATAGTCCCGCTCTGTCTGGAGCAGTTCCTCGATAACCTTGGACCTCTTCTCCAGCATCCTTTGCTCTGCGCTCTCAGTGGCAGCCCAGGATGTCTCCAGGGATGGTGTCTGGGAGGACAGGAGAGTCATCTCTGCAAGACAGACGAGCAAGATCAGCGTGCTCCAACAAAGATGCAAGGACAGGAGACAAACAGCATCTGAACTGTGAACACAAGTAACCTATGCGACTGACAAACATCAGTGCCGAGAGACCAAGACTGTCCATCCACGGGCCTTTCCAGAGCTGCCACCCCGGGGCAGCAGGCAGGGAGCTCCGGCCTGCTCCACAGCCCACCCTCGCAGCACCAGGAACACTGCAATGCCCCGGCTTTGAGGGCCGCAGGCAGCAAACCTGCTCCAGACGGTCCCCCCTGATGCCGGCCGGGCCCAGACTCCTCTCCCACCCTCGCTCTCTCACTCTGCGGCTTCAGGAAGCTCCGCGGGGCTGAGCAGACACGGAGGGGAACCCCCGGTTCCCAGGCGGACAATGGCGGCCGCCCCCCTCTCTCAGGCCGGGAACAGGGTCTCCATTCCGCAGCCCCCAGGCATTTCCATGGGAATGGCCGCACGGGGCCCCGGGCACCCACAATGGTGCTGTCGCCGGCAAAGCCCGGAGCTGGAGCGCGGCCAGGGCGCGGGGCCGGGCCGCCCCCGGCCCTGGGTGCCTGCAGGGCCCGGAGCTGGGCCGCCCTCCTCGGCCCCGTCCACACACCCGCAGCCGCCTCTCCTCCTGGTTTTCTGTCCCACCTGCGGCTCCAGGCCGGCCCAGCCCCCTCGGTTTTCATTGAGACATTTTATCCCCCCGCAGATTCCTGGGCCCCAGCCGCCCCCTGCCCCACCTGCCTGCTTTTGAAAGCATGTGCCCTCCGGCCGAAACCACAGCCACAGCGTTCCCACCGCCACCTCCCCAGCCCGGGGGAGCCCCTCTCCCGCACCTCCCTGGGACATCCCTCCGGGGCAGGGTCTGGCCCAGGAACACTCAGGTCTCCCCCATTTCACGGCTGCTTTGCAGCACGGAGGCCCCCGAGCCACTCGCAGCAGCCCAGCCTGCCTCAGGTACCCCATTTAGTATCAATTGCTGATTTGACAAATGCCTGTCCACTCCAGCGGTCTCCCACGGATCCCCAGCTGCTCGCTCTCAATGGGATTTTATTAGAGTTGCAGACATGCCCCAGCTCAGACATTTCTAAGAATGTTTTTGCAGGACTGGCACTTTCAGATCTCTCTCTCCCTGACCTCTCTGGTGACAGCCTCAGGCAACGGGGGCTCAGCCTGGGAGACTCCCAGGGACACCCACCAGGGCTTGACACTTTATCCTGGTACCAAAGCACCCACGGTGAACAGCCCCAAGAGACCCCCATGCTCCCAGCCACTTCTGCCCAGGTGCTGGGCAGGCTGCAGGCAGACCCCGGCCTTGCCCTGCGGGGTGATGGCAGTAACCAGCATGGGAAATTGCTGCCTCAGCCCAAGCACCCTGCCCACTGCTCAGCCAGGCTGGGCTTTTCACACTGAAACGATCTGGGAAAGAAAAGAAGAGACCCAAGCTGAGATGAGACACTGACTCAACCCATAATTATCTGAAACCATCGCCAGCCCTTTCAGCCCTTCCCATTGCAGAGCAGCATCGACAAGCAGAAACCACGAGCATCAGCATCAAATATCAAGTTGTCACAGCTACCTGGGCTGAGGACAAACTGATGTGCCGCTCTGCAGAAAGAACAACATCAAAATCATTCCCATTTCCAGCCGCGGCAAATGAGAAACCCAGCTGAAAGACTCAGAAGATGCCCTCGATGTAGGAGGTAAGATACCTGTCTCTGTAAGCTGCGCCTCTGCTGCCCTGCCGTGAAATCTAGCCTGGGGAGAGGCAAAACGGCTAGCTCAACAGAGGAGGATTTAGTGACACAACCAGCACTACATTTAGAAGGCAATCATTGGGAAGAGAAAGCCTCACTGATTCCTACTGGCAAGTATCCTTAAGAGTACCCCCATCAGAGCCAAACTGCATAAGGGAAAAGGCTGATTTCAGCTAAGTCAATAGCTGTCTTGGCTTGTTTCCACCAGTCCCTGATGATAAACTTTATCAACTCAAAAGCAGCAGGAATCCCTCCAAGGAGGGTCTGGGAGCAGCCGCTGGGTTTAACATTTGCTGTTTGCATTTCCACAGCATCTGCAAAGCCTCAGTGGCAGACCAGGCCCTGCTGTGCAAGGTCCTCTACAAACACTCACAGGGATATCCTGCCAGAGACACAGCACTTGGAGCCTGAACAGGCAGAAAAACCTACAGGAGGGACAACTAAACATCAAGATAATAACAGTCAGCAGGTCTCTGTGGCTCAGAGAGTTAAGGAAATAACAACAAATGAGTTATTTTAAAGAAATATATATATTTTTTAAGGAATGGCATTTGTTTTCAAGGAGAGCAAGCTCAAGTGGGAAAGCAACCTGGAAGAAACAGGAAGGTGTTAATTTGCAATGCAAACAGGTGTGTGAAACCCAGAGGAGGTGGGAGGGCAAGATGATACTACTGCATGGGGTGGGCTGGGAAGAATCTTGAAAATGAAAACCAGCCAGAATAACAGCTGGAAATGACCCATGCATCTTGCCATATGCTATGATGGACATGATTGTAAAACCCTTTCAATTATATTTTCTGTGTCCTGCCATTTCACGCCCCAAGAAAACAAATAAAGTGTCACAGCATTTGGGAAGATAAATGGAAAGGATTACATTTGCCTTGGTCAAAGAATAGGACTTTGTATTTATATGCAGGCAAAATGCCACCAGATGAAGCTTTTTACAGGACACCTCAGGAGCTTACCGTACCACCAAACAACCCTGCTGTACTCCCAACCTTAGCTATAGCTAAATTGCAGTCACACCATGTGTCTGGCTCCAGCTCACCAAAACAGAGCTGGGGATGTCCAGCACTGCTGGCAAACACAGCAGCTCCCCACGCTCCACCAAGCGAACCCCAGGCGAGTAAATCTAGGTCAGGCCCTTACAGAAAGTGCCCTGCCGCAAGGATTCAGACAACACTCGTGAGATTGCCAGCTCCATGACACCCTTTGTCAGCAAGTCTCAAGTCCCTGCCTATGGGAGGGAAATTAAAGCCTTCCCTGCACAGATTTTAAGCTCACAGTAGTCATCAGCTCAGCTTGGCTGACCTGGCATAATGCTGGGTACTAGTTCTACTCACACTGTATCAGTATTTGCATTATTTTGAAAACTCATACAAATTAATTCTCCTCTGGTCTTCCTGGTCTTTCTGAATATTTCAAAATTCATTCAAAACCAAGGCTACATTGCAGTCAAGTATCTTAGGACTTTTGCAGTTTATCACTAGTCTAGCATCCTCCTTCAGCAATGAACTCAAAAGTCCTGCTTCTTTCCAAACACTCGTAGTTCAAAATTTTCAAATACAGAATTTATTTTTAACATTTGGCTCTTCTATCTGACCAACATGTATAACTTCGTATTTGTTTCTGATGCGTTTTAAAACTCTCACTTCTTGTATTTCATACCACCTCTGTTGCTTGTCATCAATTTATTTTTTCCTGTTTGTCACACACTCTTGTATGTCTAATAGTAGTTTTCCCTAAATGAGGCTTATTAAGAATTTATCTAAACCCACCAATTTCACAGATGTGAAATTGGTTTTGGTCATCTAGTAAATGTATTTTGAACACAGCTCCATTTTACTTCACAGATTTTCTATTTAAATGTTACCTTTCAATTTGAGTCATCATGCCCATCAATTTTGAAGGCATTAAGACCACAGCTAGAACAGACTCTATTAGCCTGCAGGAATGCAACTGGTATTTCTAATGAAGCCACTGAATTCCGATCCAGTGACAAATTCAAGTTTACCCATGACACAGTTGCCAAATGGGCATTTAGAAATACATTTCCAAAAACAGCGTTCTCAATCATGATTTTCAGAGGCTCAGATTTTGTTCTCTTGTAGGTTTTGCTCTGTAATTTGCCTCTCTAAATTCAAACCTCCTAACAACATCATTTTCTCTATCCCCTTTGGCAAATTTGCAACACGTCCTTGGCTCTCCAGAATGGTTTGATGGTCTGTGACAGCCTCCCAGGAGCACCTGCTTTTGAGCTTTTCTAGTACGCCCGCAGAGCCTTGAGAGATTCAACACTAGCTCACCCTGGAAATGAGGTGTCAAGCTGGAGCACATTCCCACTTCTGCCCTTCCCGTGGAAGCTGTGATTTACTATCACAATCACACGGCTCATCCTGCTTGTCTGAGAAATGCCACTGTCATCAACTTTCTTCCAATTAACAAAAACTTCGAATTCTTGTTACCTAACCTCCTCGTGGGAGCACACATGCAATTAGAGGTTTTCCCTGCCCCACTCTGGAAGCAGAGTTGACCCACAAAGACCAGATCCAATGGGATGCATGTCCACCACGCACAGGCTGCAGGGCTCCCCCGAAGGTCTGCATCGCCCCCCAGCTGCTCCTCGTCAGGGCTCACCTGCCAGCATCCCCCGTGGCTCGGCGCAGCCTCGCAGGGCGCACACGCTGCTAAGACGATCCGCACAGTCTGCGGAGGGACGCGCCGCCCATCCGCACCGGGTCGGCGAGCAGGAACTCCGTGGGAGATGCACCCAGCCCCGAGGCAAGCCCAGCCCCAGGTTCACAGCTCAGCAGAGTCAAGCAGTGAGGCAGGACAAAACAAACCAGCTGCAAATATTTGAAGTATGTGGAGGCCAGGAGGGGAGGAGCCGCTGCCGATCATGAGAGGGGAGGCGATGAAACTAGGGCAGGGAATAATTAATCTGAGCAAAAGGCTAAACTCGCTGCCAGGAGCAGGATCTGGCTGGGGTGGAAACTCTTACTCTGGACACTGGTAATATGCCAGTGAGCTGAACAGGAACAGAATGGGGATGCTTTCCCAGGGCCACTGGAATGGCTTGATGTCAGACTTACAGCCTGCTTGGTGGGGATGTTTCTACGTCAGGTAGGATCACAGCCATCACCCCAAACAGCCTGTGGTTGCCCAGACAGTCCCACGGCATTCAGTGTGAACAGGGGATGATCCCAACCCATGACACAGAAAACACTGAAGTAGTA